GGGATCAAATACTTATTTCATTCATGAAAATGCAAATTAATGTATAACTTTTTTTGTAATGCATTTTTCTGGATTTTTTTGTTATTGTTGTGTCTCTCACTGTTCAAATAAACCTACCATTGAAATTGTAGACTGATCATTTCTTTGTTAGTGGGCAAACTTACAAAATCAGCTGGGGTTCAAATAATTTTTTCCCTGACTGTATATACTGCTCAAAAAAATTACAAAAAAAATTAAGGGAACATTGATTGGATCATCACAGTATAACACCAAGTCAGTTAAACTTCAGGGATATCATTTTGTCCATTTAGGAGGCACAAGTGATTGTGAACCAGTTTCACTTGCTTTGGTGCAAATGAAAGTGACAATAGGTGCAATGCACAGGCAAAAGAAAGACAATCTCCTGGTGCAGGACAATGCCTAGCCTCATGTGGCCAGAGTCTCAACCAACCAGAGCCCAGACCTCAACCAAATAGAGATGCTGTGGATTAACTTCAAAAGAGCCGTTCACACCAGACGTCCTAAGATTCACTTTGTATGTTTAGTGGGTTTGTTCAATAAAGACATGAAAGATCAGGACTGTTTGTGTTTTATCATCTTAGAAATATTGTTTGTTAATATTTGTGACTTTGGTGAAGATGAGATCACATTTCATGACAAATTTATACTGAAAACCAGGAAATTGCAAACAGTGCCATTACTTTTCTTGCATGTAAACTTCTGACTTCAATTGTAGACTTTTAATGCTTTGCTGCAGACCAATGAAAGATGTCAACATACTCTGTAATTTAGATAGGAGAAAGCACAGAAATTCTGCCTTCTTCAAATCTGTAGTAGTCAAATTAGCAAATGCTGGTTTCCCAACACATACAGCGGAACAAGTCAGATCACAATGGAAAATACTGAAGAAAAATTTCTACATGGTCAAACATCCAAACAGTAATAATAAGTGGGTTTGACCAACAACTTTCAAATCTTCAAAATAATGGACAACATGCTTGGTCGTCATCCACTTTCAACTGAATATGACAGAGGAGTTTAACTAGACCTACACCGGCTTTCCCTGTCTAAAATATAATACATCAACTCCAGGCATGGACAGATCATGAGACAATAGGCCACTGGGCACAGACATGTACAGTAAAAGGGCCCTATCCTTCCAACAAGGAGCAAGACTCAAGGACTGAACAACCACATGATTTGCAGTCAATTGGTCTTCTTGTGATCATTTTGGTAGTTTTTAGTCTTTGTTTTTACTTGTTTTGCATTTGTTTGTAATTATTTTTCAGAAAATGTTACTTATTTTGTGTCTATTTTTAACTGTTTTGTATCACTTTGTAGTTCTTTTGTGGGGGGGGGTGTACTTTGGCATATTTTCGTAGTCATTTTGCTGTCTTTGGGGTCTTTCCTGCCTCTTTTAATTCATTTTGTTTATTTGTAGTTGTTTTGCATGTGTTTTTTCTCATTTTGTGGCTTTTTGTAGTTGTTGTGCAGTCTTTTGATTGACTTTTCATCAGAAAGGTGAAGAGTCCCTTTACGGTTCTCTGGCCTAAGTGCCCCCAACTCCCTGGGATCCTGGGCTTGTGCCCAGTAGGCCTGTTCAGGAATCCATCCTTGGCTCCAGTTCGTATTAAAGTGCTTAAAGGTTATTAGCGTTAGAATGTGGCCTATAGATCCTCAGTCTTTTTCATTAGAAAAAAACAAATAAATATAGTTACAAAACGTTCCTATTTATAATATTTTTATGTTAACAAATACAGAAGATGACACAGTATTCTAGTTTTTATCATATATACAGGGATATGCTTAACCACATTTTCTCTGTTCTATGTAAACACAATATGCAGAACATGATCAAAACCACGATACTCATGTACATGTAAAACACACAGCTCAGAGGACAATCCGCAAGTAAGGGTTTGTGATGTTATTACATTGGCTTGTATTGTTGGGTTAAAGGTTAGGTTATTGTGTTCACATGCCAGCTGTATCGAGCTGCACCCTGACTCAATCCTGTTTCTGCACACACACAGCAAAGTGAACATGAGTGCTCGTATCTATAAAACTATCCTTCAACGTGTGTAAATATGGGTCTGGCATCATGCAGAGGTTGACGTGTGCACAACAGCAGCACTGCTGATATGAATGAGCTTTTATCAGTTAAGACTGTTAGCGAAGGTAAAACCATTTCTTTCTCGCACTGATTTAGAGAAACCCATTCACGCCTTCGTGACGTCCCGGCTTGATTACTGCAATGCCCTCTACGCCGGTTTATCTCAGTCATTGTTGTCCAGGCTGCAGCTGGTGCAAAATGCCGCTGCCCGGCTGCTCACTGACACCCGTCGACATGCTCACATTACCCCAACCCTAGCGTCCCTTCACTGGCTACCTATGAAATGGAGAGTGCAATTTAAGATTGTGCTATATGTGTTTAAAGCCTTGCATGGACTTGCCCCTCCATATTTATCAGATCTTCTATCCAGATACTTTCCTCGGAGATCATTACGGTCATCTGCCCACTTCACCCTTGTGGTCCCTACGTCCCGTTATGAAAAATGGGGAGGTCGGGCCTTTGCCGTGTACGGCCCGGTATTGTGGAACACTCTGCCATTAGATTTACGCTCCATAACTGAATTAGTTCCGTTTAAATTGGCACTGAAAACATATTTTTTTAAACAAGCTTTTTATGCTTAATCTCTCTAAGGCTCCTCTTGGCTTTCTATTTTATTGTAGCTTTATTCTAGCTTCTCTGAGGGGTGTCAGCCTGGACAGTGATTACGATAAAGATCGACGAATGTATGTGCCTGTCATATGTCTATTTAGTGGATTTTTATTCTGATATTGATATTTTGATGATGTTGGTTTTAATTTTTTTTCTGATGTAGCACCTAGTGCTCTTTGAGCTGGTAGGTGCTTTATAAATAAATTTTATTATTATTTATTATATATAAATTTGAGGGGAATCAAACAGCATGAGGCAGGGCTGTTATATTGCACTGCACCATATCACAAAGAGCTTTCTATTCTCTGCCTTATTAGTATCTTATCCTGTCCCTACAAGATTAGAATTCACTGACAGTTGATTTTTTATTTTTATTTTTTTGTCCTATCAGTTGCAGTTATTATGAAAGTTGAATTATGAAATTATCCATTAGGATGACAAACTATGCACCACTAAAAAACAAACTTGGTCCACCTCCTCAGTAAGTAAGCCAGCACTTCAGCTAGGTCGATGTCCTCCTCCGATGCAGTCTGTCCGTCCGCCGCCCTGCGTCCCCGGCTGTTGCTGTTGTCCCGGTTTGGTTCTTCTGCTTCAGACCGCTCCGCTGGGTTGTCACTGGAAGAGCTCCTTCCACCAGACATCCCAGAACTGGACTGAGAGCCCATAGACTGAAAAGGGCCTGGCAGGTGAAATGATGTAAAATTATAGGGCAGTTTTAGAATTAACGCTACCGAGGGGGAGTCAGGTGAACACAAACAGTATGTGAGTGCGTTCATAAATAGGAAATGTGAAAACACAAATTAAGAAACGCCATGTCTGCAGAGCATAGCTCTACAATAGCCAAACCGATATCATTTCAAGTTATAAGCTCAATCCAATGTACATCCACTTCTTAGGTAGTTACAAATCACGATTTAGATGCAGAGGCTGGTTTATGTTAAGCTAGCCAGTAATGCTAACGATTTGACTTTAACGTTACCGTCTGTCTGTCAAAGGCTCTTCCTGACACTGCGTCGGCCCAGCTCTTTAACGTTACGGTTCGACCTTGGCCGTTTGTTAGATGTGTAACTTGCAGAAGGTTTAACGGACTGTGTCTTAACACGATAAACTCAGGATTTGGACGCTCCGTGTTTGGGGTTGATCAGTCCGTGAGTCGCCATGTTGTTTACAAAAGTACGAAAAAACTGCGCGTGCCCTTATTGTCACGTGACAACTGAAAAAGTTTAAAATACCTGGATGTATGGCTACAATAGCAAGATGATTTGGCTTTTCAACAGTCTTATTAAATACACGAAAAACGTAACAATAACGTTTACTATATATAACCAAATATTACGAAGTGCTTCACACTAAAACTAGTCAAAGAATTACACAGTAAAAAAGACAAGCCATTAGATCCAATCCGTTTATCATCCATTCATTCTTTTGTTTAATCAGAACAACAAAGAAAGGGCTTTTGGTGTTGGTGGCTATCAGAGAAAAATAATCAGTGTATGGTCCCTGTATGATCCAATCATTCAATTATTTAATTTAACCTGCAAAGGAGAAAACGGATAAACGGTTCAAAATTTGTTGTAGATGTGAAAAAGGGAAATCGCTGCGGGTTTCTTCTGTTTTCATAATAAAACGTGAAATTAAATAAACTAGAAACCCCAAACCAAAAAACAAGTCTTATTCTGTTTTTCTGTGGAGGGGGAGGGGGGGGTACTTTGCCGTGCGCATGCGCAGACCGTGACTGCTGCGCCCGCTCGCACGTATGTGAATTCTCATGGGAAATGGTGTTTATGGAAGTCATTGCCTGTCAGATCAGCAGTGATGATACGCGGCTGGTACTGTGTGTACTATGCACACACCAGGGTCTTTCATCTATACTTGTGTGTGAATTGCGATGCAGATCTGTTTGTTTATCAAGTAGTTATATGAACAATTTGCAGCCAGATTAATTTGTCCTTCAGCAGCCTACAAGTTCACTTTGTACAGCGGCATCTAGTGGCTATCTGTCATCAAAGCACCTTTATTAGTAGTTCCAGATGAAATGCCTGATCTGTTTTCTTTTTTAAGTCCATCATCACATCACCAAAATGACCCTCACCTTCATGGAGGAACAGGAGGTCACACTGGCAGCAGATCCGCACTGCAGAGAATAACTATACCTGTGCAGGGATTATTTTTGGAGGGTATGTTGGGAATAAGATGAGGGTTATTAAATACATAACTTTGCACAGACACATCACATAGAGGCCACATAGGCCAACAGTGCAGGGTAAAAGTCCAACCACTGTCAAAAAAGTGATGGGCCCAATAATGTAGCCTATACACTTTGGACAATAGGCTAACAGTGAAGCTCCAGTTAGCGGAGCATCATTGTATGGATGCTGTTTCAGTATCCATACTAGGTTATCCTGGTCTTTATTGTATGGACGCTGATTCAGCATCCATACTATGTTATCCAATTATTTGTATGGATGCTGACTCCGCATCCATACATACCTTGTTTTCCTGGTCTTTATTTATTGTATGGATGCTGACAAGCATCCATACCTTGTTTTCCTGGTCTTTATTATTGTATGGATGCTGACAAGCATCCATACTATGTTATCCTGTTCTTTATTGTATGGATGCTGATTCAGCATCCACACTGTTATCCTGTTCTTCATTGTGTGGATGCTGTAAAGCAGTGGTCCCCGGGCCGTGGACCGGTACCGGTCCGTGGATCAATTGGTACCGGGCCACACAAGAAATCATTAATTATTTCCGTTTTATTTATTATCTGAGTCTGAACGATCTTTTATTTTGAAAAATGACCGTATTCTCTCGGTTACATCTCGGTCACTTGAGCGCCAAAACTGGCTTACTTGTGCGACATATTCAGCCTGCTCAATGAACTCAATCTGTCACTTCAGGGGAAAATGACAACTGTCTTCAAGTTGACAGATAAAGTAGCTGCATTTAAAGCCAAACTGGATTTGTGCGTACGGCGCGTCAACAGAGGTATTTTGGACATGTTTCAAACATTAGCGGGGATTTGGGGTGACACTGAGCCTGAGTCTTCATTCTCCCAGCTGGTGCACGATCACCTGTCTTTGCTTTTAAAAGAGTTCGAGCGCTACTTCCCAACCACAAAGGACCCACGAACTGCCAAGGAATGGATCCGCAACCCATTTGTCAACAAACCAGGTGAATCCAGCAGGTCTGTGCAAGAAGAAGATCAACTGCTGGAGATCGCAAATGACGGCGGCCTTAAAAGTATGTTCGAGACAACAACTCTGTCGGTGTCCTGGATTAAAGTCATGACAGAATACCCTGAGATCGCCACCACAGCACTGAAAACCCTGTTGCCATTTCCGACATCCTA